TAAAATATAGATAGGGCGAGTAGGGATCGTCCCAAGGGATTTAATGGTGTATCGAATTGTGAACTATGGTAATTAGGGTTAGTAGGTCGAGTGATCACACAATTGGTTGGTTGGTTGATTATACTAAATGAGCTAAATTATAATAAAGCAATGCAATAAGATAAAAAGTAAGTAAGAAGGAAAGGTCTTGGGGTGTAGAGATCACCACCAAACAATACTATTCCAAACCATAATCAAGTGACTAATGAGGGAAATGAATGTGTTGCAACAATGTTGTGTGTGTAAAAGACATTCAATTGGTAAGGGTGACTCAACAAGTGCAAATTGTCTCAATCAACATGTGTGAGGCCACAATACATCTATTGGTAGAGGAATATATTGTCTAAACATCATGTGAAGATAACAAAATAACAATTCAAGTCATTGAACCTTTCATTAAGCTCATAGTCCAAGCAATCCATAAGGATGACTTAGTTAAACATGCATTATCTAATCATCATGTGAGAGGTACAAAATATCTATTGGGAGAGGAATAAATTGTCTAAACACATGTGAAAGATACAACATATCATAACTAATCATTAACCCTTCATTAAGCTCAAAATTCCTTTACATCACAAAATTAGAGCATATGCTTCTTGCATTCAAAAGCATGGAACATCAAAGAACAAGCATGAATTGTTTCCCCAACTAACACTACACTACTTAAAAGAGAAACACAATCCATCAAGGAATAAGTATGAACCATCTAGAGACATAACAAGAGCATTACATTAAAAACTTCATATTTTGGCAATCTCAAGATTAAAGGCATTAATACACATAGACATGCATCAATAACATTAAATCTAGAGGTGAGCACCTACTCTAGCATACATAGACATATAGATAGAGAAAATGATCAATTAGAAGTATCAATCCATAGAACTTAATGAATAATCAAGATCTTCATAAGTTCAAGAATCAAAATATGCATTACAACACACATCCCTCAAAATTACACAAGATTGGGTAAAGAAAGCATGCTTGGGGCTAACTCTAGCCCCAAGAAGATGTCTAGCCACTCATGGTAGTGATGATCCAACCCTCAAGGGCTAACTCCATGGCTGCTCCTTGTAGATGAAGATCTCCTCCAATGGTTGCTCTAGCTTCCTCCCTTCTTTCTCTCCAAGAATAGCCTCCAAGATGATTTTCAATGTGTGACAAGAGACTCTAGGCTCTCCACCAAAAAGTGTATCATATTCCTTATATAGGTAGGTCAAATACACCCTATGATGAGCTGTGTTCGTGCAAGGCATATTCTCCAATGATTGGGTGAAGGACGGAATAAATGAGCTGGACTTTAACTTTTTCTCGCTGGAGGAAGTTCGATCGATCGAACCTTAACTTGGATCGATCGAAGATGGGTTCGATCGATCGAACTGCATCTTGGATCGATCGAAGTGGTCTGACTCCTCCGGATAAGAACAAGGCTGAGATATTTCGAAGATATTTATGGGGAAAAGGACAAAAGTGGTTGGTAGGCGTACAGCTGTGGATAAGATCAATCATTTGAATAGGACAAAATAGGGTTCGATCGATCGAAGGTGATGTTGGATCGATCGAACTTGGAATTTCAGCAAAGGCCAAGGTTGGATCTATCGAGAATTACTGTGATCGATCATAGATGTTCGATCGATCGAACTCTAAGTTGGATCGATCGAACTTTTCAGCTGCACAACTTTGATTCCTTTTTGCTCCTTGCTTTCTCCACTTTGCTCCCTCCTTTGGTTTATCTCAGGATTGTTTCAATTAAGCTCTTATTTGGCTGAGTTAGCTCAATTTTGGGATTAGTGCCTGAAAATATAAATAACACGTAATAAGTCTAAAACGGCAAAGTAAGATAGATAAAGGTACTAGAATGCTTAAGCTTAATGGGTTTAAATGCGCACTTTTCAGTGCTCATCACACCCCCAAACTTAAATATTGCTAGTCCCTAGCAATGAACTAAGAAGTAAAGGAATGAAATGAACAACTAAACAAGTATAAACGGAAAGCAAGTAAAATGATAGCGCCACTTTCGTAGGGAACACGATTGCATTTAGCATATGCAACAAGCCTTTCAAACCCCTAGGTTACCCCTAGTGGACGAGTAAAGTCTCGTGAGGGTTTCCAGAAATGGTACCCACAAACATTAAGCTCATTCTTTCAAAAAAGGCACCAATATTGCAAACAAGCATTGAGAGAAAACTACCTTGAGTATGCAATTTTTCAACCGTTTCTAAGCAATCTCCCAAAATTTCAATATCAAGTAAGCAAGCATGGTCCTCCACACATCAAGAAAATGATCATGAAAATCAAAACAAGTCTAGAATCCATGTGAGGGTCCGGCATCAAGTGTGTTGCTATCTTAGCTAACTAGAGAAGTAATCATATCCTTACCCTCAAACTAGCACACAAATCTAGTACCGATCATCAAGATAAGAGAGTGGACCTTTTATTAAAGCTTTATTGTTCCAGGTGCGCTTATTCTTTTCACTCTATTTCTTTCTTTTTTTTTTCTTTTTTTTTTCAATTTTTTTTTATTGAGGATCAAAGATGGAAGTATTGTGCAATGTGTTGATCTCTTAAGCTTTAGAAGATTCATGTAGCGAGCTTTAGGTCAATGACTCCCAAACCAGATGGCTTTAGGGCATTAGGTGTTAAGACACCCCTACGGACTTACAAACTCAAATCAACTAGGCTACAAATCAAGACGACAACCATCTAATCATTTCCCACTTCTCACCTTTTGGGAGAAGTCCTCACTTTTATTGCTTTTTGCAACTTCTTCTTCTTTTTTTTTTTTTTTTTTTTTTCAATTCAATTATTAACCTAAAGTTTGGGCCCTCCACCTTTCGGCGCGAGAAGTTCACTGCTTAATGAGGCAAGAATCCCGGCTACTCAATGAAAAGGGGTTGTTATCCACCTTTATCAAGAATGAAAGCTTTCAATGCACTATTAGCCCAATTGGGATATAACCAATTCAATAATCAACAAAGCATGTACCCCACAATTGAATGCTAGCGTGCGTCGGTGCTAGTGTAGAATCCTATATTGAATCTCAAAACAATCACAAAATCAGGATGATGTGGACCACAAATGCAAGCAAGATATCAATCTTTTGAAAAATTTACTCCTAAATGGCATCCTCAAGGCATACAAGGAGTATTGGACTCTCAAGTCAAGCAATTTTTAAATTTTAAGCAATATAGTCCTCAAAAGATCAAAATCATAGCTAGAAATGGACCAAGTATAGAAATATCCCTCAAATACACAAGACATGCTCAAAATTTGAATTTTAAAGTAACACTGAAACATACACCAATACCCCCAAACTTAAAGTGCACATTGTCCTCAATGTGTGAAGAGAACAAAGGAAAGAGTATACCAGTGCTTTAGACATAAATGATCGAGATAGAAGTATCCAAAGCAGGTGGCATGGCCCCCCCAAACTTGGGATAAACTGTGGCCCTAAAAAGTTTGCACTCGGATAAACTAATTAGATAACAAGATAGGATAATCAGTGCACAGTGGACATGCAAGTGTAAGATGGGATAAATAGAGAATAGAGAGAGAGGTGTAAGAGTGGTCGTGAAAAATTAGGCAGCACTCTCTCACTGAAGTCACTGTGGTGTACCAGATGGAGTCAAATATACAAATATGAGATACTAAGAGACATCCATAATCAAGAAGCAATATATAGAGAATATAAAGTGCAGGTACATCAATAAAATAATAAAGCCGACAGACCGGCCACAAAATATAATACAGTAACAGTGACAGTATAATACAGATCCAGAATAAAAGAAATGAAAGCATAGAACAACTGGAAGTAGAATCTCAGGAGGCCCGATCGTGAAGATCTGCAGTGGCTGGAGGTGCCGGCTGTGAGTTCGATCGATCGAAGATGGAGTTCGATCGATCGAACTTAGGTCTCCACTCTTAATGAAATTTTTTTTTTTTTTTTTTTTTTTAGATGAGATGCAAATTTCGATCGATCGAAGAAAGATTTCGATCGATCGAAGAGGATAAAGAATGTACAAGTTTAAGGGTTCAAGAGTTGATATGTGCTGGAACCTTGGATCGATCGAACTTGGAATTCGATCGATCGAACATGAAAAATTTTGAAAAGTCCCGAGAGCATGCATTTTGGAGTGTGGATGTAGGTCCAAAATTTTTCTAAGTGTTGGGACTGATGATCGATCGAACCACATGTTGGATCGATCGAAAGGTAGTTCGATCGATCGAAATGGTTTACGATCGATCGAACTTTTGAGAATTTGGAGATCCCGAGAGCATGCATTTTGGAATTTGGATGTAGGTCCAAAATTTTTCTAAGTGTTGGGACTCATGATCGATTGAACCACATGTTGGATCGATCGAAAGGTAGTTCGATCGATCGAAATGGTTTACGATCGATCGAACTTTTGAGAATTTGGAGATCCCAAGAGCATGCATTTTGGAATTTGGATGCAGGTCCAAAATTTTTCTTGGAATTTGGATGCAGGTCCAAAATTTTTCTAAGTGTTGGGTGCAAAATGAGAGCTGGATCGATCGAGTCCATAGTTGGATCGATCGAACCAAAGTTCGATCGATCGAACCAAGACTTGGATCGATCGAAATTATGCCTAAATGCTCAAAATGACTTGAATGCTCATGCAATCCCTTACTCAGTTCCTTCCAATTTATATGAACCACAAAAACAGTATCTAGACTTCACAAGAATCAAAATGTAAGATAGAAATGAGGGAGGAATAGGGTTTTGACATCCTACGAATTTCGGTGCTAGTCTTTAACGTCTCTAGCAAGACCTAGGGTTCTTTTAACCCGGATCAAAGATCTTGCAATGCATCCCCTCCTTTTTGGGATGAGAGATGTTTTGAGTTCCACTCAACAAATGGTTCTTGGAAGAACTTGTTGGATTTAACTCAAAAGATGTTTTTAAATTCTTATCAAAATCTTCATCAATATGTTCATACACCGGGTCAATAAGATTTGCAGCCTCTAAATGTCTTTGAAAGACTTGGCCCTCTATGTATGGTTTCAATCTTTGCCCATTCACCTTGAAGATGTTCCCCTTCTTCAAGTCTTGTATCTCTACCGCTCCATGCGGTGCAACCGAGATAATTTCATAGGGACCTTCCCACTTGGTTCTCAATTTGCCGGGAAAGAGTTTTAACCTAGAGTTGAAAAGCCAAGCTTTTTGACCGGGTTCTAAGGACTTCTTCACAATATGCTTATCATGGAAGGCTTTGGTTCTTTCTTTGTAGAGCTTGGCATTATCATAAGCATTGTGCCTTAGCTCTTCCAATTCACTCAATTGAAGTAACCTATTCTCTCCGGCTTTGGCTAGGTCAAAATTGAGCTTTTTAACTGCCCAAAAGGCTTTGTGTTCTAGCTCAACTGGAAGATGGCAAGGCTTCCCATAAACAATTCTATAAGGGGACATGCCAATGGGAGTCTTATATGCCGTACGATAAGCCCACAAAGCATCATTTAGCTTTCTTGACCAATCTTTCCGGGTGGGGTTAACCGTTTTCTCAAGGATATGCTTAATTTCCCGGTTAGACACTTCAACTTGTCCACTTGTTTGAGGATGGTAGGGAGTGGCTACTTTGTGAGTGACGGAGTACTTAAGAAATAATTGCCTCAAGAAATGATTGCAAAAATGCTTTCCTCCATCACTTATCATAGCCCTTGGTATACCAAAACGAGCAAAGATATTGGATTTAATGAATTGAATGACCACGGAGTGATCATTTGTTTTGGTAGCACAAGCCTCAACCCACTTAGAAACATAATCAACGGCAAGAAGAATGTATTGATAACCATATGACATTGGAAATGGACCCATGAAATCAATGCCCCAAATATCAAAAATTTCAACAACCAATATATTGGTTAATGGCATCATATCTCTTTTAGACATTGTTCCCATCTTTTGACACCTCTCACACGACTTGCAAAAGTTGTAGGCATCTCTATGAATAGTGGGCCAAAAGAGCCCACTTTGAAGAACCTTTAGGGCGGTCTTCTTTGCACTAAAATGCCCACCACATGCAAGTGTGTGGCAAAACACTAGAACACTTGGGATTTCACTCTCCGGAATGCATCTTCTCACAATTTGATCGGGACAATAACGGTATAAAACAGGGTCTTCCCAATAGTAATTCCGGATGTTGGCAAAGAAACGATTTTTGTCGTTCTTTGACCAAGAGGTTAGAAGCTTGCCTATTGCCAAATAATTCACAATATCAACGAACCAAGGCATTATTCCATTTGAGACTTGAAAAAGTTGTTCATCCGGGAAGGAATCATGAATTGGAGGACTAGGGAAAGGCTCTATTTGTAATCTGGAAAAATGATCAGCAACCACATTTTCGGTGCCCTTTTTGTCCTTGATTTCAAAATCGAATTCCTGGAGGAGTAAAATCCATCTAATCAATCTAGGTTTTGTTTCCCTTTTTGTTAAAAGATGTCTCAATGCAGCATGATCAGAGTAAACAATAACCTTAGATCCTAGCAAATAAGAGCGGAACTTATCAAGAGCATATACTATAGCAAGTAATTCCTTCTTGGTAGTGGAGTAATTCAATTGAGCTCCTGAGAAGGTTTTGCTTGCATAGTATATGGCACAAGGGAGCTTACCTACTCGTTGGCCCAAAACTGCCCCCATGGCATAGTCAGAAACATCACACATAATTTCAAAGGGCAAAGACCAATTAGGAGGTTGCATGATAGGAGCATATGACAATGAAGTGCGCAATTTATGAAAGGCGTCTAGGCATGCTTGATCAAAGACGAAAGGAGTATCCTTGGCAAGAAGATTGCACAAAGGTCTAGCGATTTTGCTAAAGTCCTTGATGAAGCGGCGATAGAAGCCGGCATAACCTAGAAAAGAGCGAACTTCCCTCACCGTTGAAGGTGGGGGTAGTTCAGAGATGAGTTCAACTTTCGCCTTATCTACCTCAATTCCTCTTCTAGATATGACGTGACCCAAAACAATTCCCTCTTGAACCATGAAATAGCTCTTTTCCCAACTAAGAACAAGGTTTGTTTCACGGCATCTTTTAAGCACTAAGTCCAAATTTTTGAGGCAAGCATCAAAGGAAGACCCAAAAATAGAAAAATCATCCATGAAGACCTCAAGATACTCTTCCACCATATCCAAAAAGATAGACATCATACACCTTTGGAATGTAGCAGGAGCATTGCACAAACCAAAAGGCATCCGTCTATAAGCAAATGTGCCAAATGGACATGTAAAGGTGGTTTTCTCTTGGTCTAATGGGTCAAGGGCCACTTGGTTGTAACCGGAATATCCATCTAGAAAGCAATAGTATTGTTCCCCCGCCAATCTCTCTAAGATTTGATCAATGAAGGGTAAAGGGAAATGATCCTTTCTAGTGGCGGCATTTAATTTTCAGTAATCAATGCACACACGCCATGAGTTGGCGGTGCGCTTAGAGATTTCCTCACCTTTAGCATTTTCAACCACGGTAATTCCCGACTTTTTGGGAACTACTTGTGTAGGACTCACCCATTTGCTATCGGAGATTGGGTAGATGATTCCGGCATCCAAAAGTTTCACTACTTCTTTCTTAACTACCTCTTTCATGTTAGGATTCAATCTCCTTTGGGCATCCCTAAAGGGTTCTGTATCCTCTTCCATGAGTATACGATGCATACAAATGGAAGGATTAATTCCCTTAAGGTCCGCCACACTCCACCCTATAGCTTCTTTGTTTTCTTTAAGTACATTAAGTAGAGCATTTTCTTGGTCCTTATCTAGGCTTGAAGAGATGATAACCAGAAGAGTGTCGCGAGGACCTAGAAATGCATACTTAAGATTAGAAGGCAAAGTTTTTAGTTCAAGAGTTGGTGGAGATACCAAAGATGGAACCGGAGGAGTACTAGAAAGTGAAGGAAGAGGCTCAATTGGAGTTTTCCATGGTGGACAATTCAAACTTGCTACGGATTCTATTATATTGCTTACTTCATTGATTGAATTTTCATTATCAAACCCACAACTCTCATACATTTCAAGAAGACATGAGGCAAGAGGATCATCGGATAAAAGAGATGAGAGATCATCCTCAAGCGGTTGTTTCATGATCATTGTGGGAATTGATTCCTCAAGAACCTCATCTAACACATCAATAACATAACACTCATCTTCATCTATGGGATGTCAACTTGCATTGAAAACATTGAGTTTGACCATCATGTTGCCAAAAGAAAGATCCATGATTCTGGACCTACAATTGATAGTGGCATTGGCGGTGGCAAGGAATGGTCTTCCCAAGATGATTGGGATTTGAGTAGTGGAATTAGCAACCGGTTCAGTGTCTAACACTACAAAATCAACCGGAAAGTAGAATTTATCTACTTTAACAAGGATGTCCTCAACCATACCCCTAGGTGTTTTGACCGATCTATCGGCCATTTGAAGAACCACCGAGGTTGGTTTTAACTCATTCAACCCCAATTGGACATACACAGAATAAGGAATCAGGTTAACACTTGAACCTAAGTCAAGAAGAGCTCTTCGGATCTCGTGATTTCCAATTACACATGAAATGGTTAGAGCACCGGGGTCTTTGCATTTGAGTGGAGTATTTTGTTGAAGAATGGAGCTCACTTGCTCCGTGATGAACACTTTCTTAGGACCTTGTCCTTTGTTCCTCCTCTTTTGTGTGCAAAGATCTTTTAAGAATTTGGCATAAGGCGGAATTTGCTTAATTGCATCTAAGAGGGGAAGATTTATGTTCACTTGCTTAAAAACATCCATCATGTCAAGTATTTTCCCATCTTGCCTCTCTTGAGGTGAGGTTTCTCTCAAAGCATAAGGGAAATGAGCTTTTGGCTCATGACATTTTGGCACTTGAGAAGATGATGAAGATTGAGTATTCCGATTTGGAACATTCTCATCCAAAGAGATAGGTATGGAATTGGAATTTTGATGAGTGACAACATTTGGTTGCACCGATTCACTATCCTCCTTTGGCAACTCAACCTTATTGTCAACTTGCTTTCCACTTCTCAAAGTAGTGATTGCTTGTGTTTGAACTTGTGAGGCATTCTCCGACGTAGAGTTTGCCTCCACACAAAATTGAGCTTTTGGGTTCCTCTCGGGTTGACTAGGTAACTTACCCACTTCCCTTGCATTCAATGCATTAGCTATGATCCCGATTTGGGACTCTAGCTTTGATATAGATTGAGAGTGTGAATGCAACAAATTTGTGTTCTTCTCTAGGCTATCCAAAGCCATTAAAACCTTATCTTCAAATGTAGAATCATTATGAAGTGCATGAGGAGAATGATGCTCCGTTTGGAATTCATACAATTGAGGATGTGAAGAATTATTCATTCTTTGATGATATGAAGGAGAATGTACTTGTTTTGAAAATTCTGAGCTTGAAAAGAATTTGGATGTTCATTCCACCTTGGAACATAAACATTGAAATAGGGATGAGCAAATGTAGCATTGACTTGTTCATAGTATTCATTATAAGCATGTCCGTGGGGACAATCAAAAGTAGTGTGCAAAACACTTGAACATGTCATACAAGGCTCATTCATTTGAGAGGTATGATGATGAGGATAGGAATTGTTAGCCGGTTTTTGATTTAACAAGAATTGGTCAAACTTTTGAGAAAGAGTTTTAATCTCGGCTACAATTCCCATTGAACTCTCTATTTGACAAACTTGAGAATTTTTCTTCTTCTCTTTTCGTTCATTGTCAATTTGAGAAGTATAAAATTTTTGTAAAGAGTTTTCGCTCATCTTCTCAAAGAGTTGCCAAATGTCATCCTCATGTTTCCCAAAATATGATCCTCCACATGATGTATCAACAATATCTTTATGAATGTCGGATAGGCTCTCATAGAAGGATTGAACCACTTGCCATTTTGGAATGCCATGATGTGGGCATTTCCCTAGCAAGTCATTCAATCTTTCCCAAGCCTCATGTAATAACTCCCCTTCTTTTTGAGAAAAAGTTCTAATTGAAGTACGCATAGCATTGGTCAAGCTCATGGGATAAAACTTTTTTAAAAATTCATTTTGCATTTGCATCCAAGAAGTTATAGAATTTGCTTCCAAAGTATTGAACCAATGCTTTGCCTTGCTTTTGAGGGTGAAAGGGAAAAGGAGTAGTCTAATCACTTCCTCCGGGACATTCATGTATCTAATGGTGGAACATATTTCAAAGAATTCATTTAGATGCTTATAAGGCTCCTCATCATTTAGACCATAGAAAAGTGGACACAATTGAATAGTTTCGGGCTTGATTTCATATTGATTTGTCTCGAAATTAGGCAACATGATACAAGAAGGTGCATGGTATGCATGGAGATCATAATAGTCACGAAGTACCATTGGAGGCATTGGAGCTTGAGCTCCGAGACCGTATTGATCGGGAGGGAGGTTTTGCATGAAATGTGGGTCTAGGTGGCCAAGATTACCCTCTAGGTTTTCCATGTGAATGCCTAGAGTGAATGATCAAGTAAAGACTACAAATCACAACAAAGCAATCAAACAAACACTTCTCCTCCACAACAAGTCAAATATCATCAACTTCCTCCATATACAATAATTCCCATACTCCCATGCTTTCAATGATATGCAATGCCACCACGTGGGCCCCCGATTTAACTAAGGAGATTGGGTAAGAAGGTCTCACAATAGTCCTTTAGCACTTCAACTCCAAATTTAAAAGCTTAGCTTAGCAACTCTTCATTTTAAGCATTTTTCCTTTGCTTTGCTTTGCTCCTTAGCTTGGAATTACTTTGCTAGCTCCTTGCTCAATGCACCTTGTTAATGAAGAACAAACTTAATAAGTAATCAAAAACAGAAAATAAAAAGAAAGTAAAGACAAGATCAAAAGAGTACTAATCCTAATTGAATTTCACAATTCGACGTTGCCAATTTAAAATCCCCGGCAACGGCGCCAAAAACTGACCGGGTCCTTTACAAGGGTCGCGATACCAAGTCAAGCTTGAAGAGTTGTGTGTGTTTAGGAGGTGGCCAAGTTTTACATTTATAAAAAGCCACTACTACCTTTCTCTATATAAAATATAGATAGGGCGAGTAGGGATCGTCCCAAGGGATTTGATGGTGTATCGAATTGTGAACTATGGTAATTAGGGTTAGTAGGTCGAGTGATCACACAATTGGTTGGTTGGTTGATTATACTAAATGAGCTAAACTATAATAAAGCAATGCAATAAGATAAAAAGTAAGTAAGAAGGAAAGGTCTTGGGGTGTAGAGATCACCACCAAACAATACTATTCCAAACCATAATCAAGTGACTAATGAGGGAAATGAATGTGTTGCAACAATGTTGTGTGTGTAAAAGACATTCAATTGGTAAGGGTGACTCAACAAGTGCAAATTGTCTCAATCAACATGTGTGAGGCCACAATACATCTATTGGTAGAGGAATATATTGTCTAAACATCATGTGAAGATAACAAAATAACAATTCAAGTCATTGAACCTTTCATTAAGCTCATAGTCCAAGCAATCCATAAGGATGACTTAGTTAAACATGCATTATCTAATCATCATGTGAGAGGTACAAAATATCTATTGGGAGAGGAATAAATTGTCTAAACACATGTGAAAGATACAACATATCATAACTAATCATTAACCCTTCATTAAGCTCAAAATTCCTTTACATCACAAAATTAGAGCATATGCTTCTTGCATTCAAAAGCATGGAACATCAAAGAACAAGCATGAATTGTTTCCCCAACTAACACTACATTACTTAAAAGAGAAACACAATCCATCAAGGAATAAGTATGAACCATCTAGAGACATAACAAGAGCATTACATTAAGAACTTCATATTTTGGCAATCTCAAGATTAAAGGCATTAATACACATAGACATGCATCAATAACATTAAATCTAGAGGTGAGCATCTACTCTAGCATACATAGACATATAGATAGAGAAAATGATCAATTAGAAGCATCAATCCATAGAACTCAATGAATAATCAAGATCTTCATAAGTTCAAGAATCAAAATATGCATTACAACACACATCCCTCAAAATTACACAAGATTGGGTAAAGAAAGCATGCTTGGGGCTAACTCTAGCCCCAAGAAGATGTCTAGCCACTCATGGTAGTGATGATCCAACCCTCAAGGGCTAACTCCATGGCTGCTCCTTGTAGATGAAGATCTCCTCCAATGGTTGCTCTAGCTTCCTCCCTTCTTCCTCTCCAAGAATAGCCTCCAAGATGATTTTCAATGTGTGACAAGAGACTCTAGGCTCTCCACCAAAAAGTGTATCATATTCCTTATATAGGTAGGTCAAATACACCCTATGATGAGCTGTGGTCGTGCAAGGCATATTCTCCAATGATTGGGTGAAGGACGGAATAAATGAGCTGGACTTTAACTTTTTCTCGCTGGAGGAAGTTCGATCGATAGAACCTTAACTTGGATCGATCGAAGATGGGTTCGATCGATCGAACTGCATCTTGGATCGATCGAAGTGGTCTGACTCCTCCAGATAAGAACAAGGCTGAGATATTTCGAAGATATTTATGGGGAAAAGGACAAAAGTGGTTGGTAGGCGTACAGCTGTGGATAAGATCAATCATTTGAATAGGACAAAATAGGGTTCGATCGATCGAAGGTGATGTTGGATCGATCGAACTTGGAATTTCAGCAAAAGCCAAGGTTGGATCTATCGAGAAGTACTGTGATCGATCATAGATGTTCGATCGATCGAACTCTAAGTTGGATCGATCGAACTTTTCAGCTGCACAACTTTGATTCCTTTTTGCTCCTTGCTTTCTCCACTTTGCTCCCTCATTTGGTTTATCTCAGGATTGCTTCAATTAAGCTCTTATTTGGCTGAGTTAGCTCAATTTTGGGATTAGTGCCTGAAAATATAAATAACACGTAATAAGTCTAAAACGGCAAAGTAAGATAGATAAAGGTACTAGAATGCTTAAGCTTAACGGGTTTAAATGCGCACTTTTCAGTGCTCATCACAGTCTATTATGATTAAATCAACCATGCTATATACCAAACAAGAATAATGATAATAATAATACTCTTAAATGCTATATACAAATACACATATATTATGTATAACACCTTCCTTAATAATACTTAATTATGTAAATCATAAATATATATACATATCAATAAATATGTATATATACAAACTTCCTAAATTAATTAAACCATATACACATATATAAATAATTATATATATGTATGTATATATTTATTTCCTTCCGTCATGTAATATTAATTAATCATATATACGCACATTAAATACCGTAGTGATACTCTATTTCTCTCATAACACTAAGAGTATCTCCTTTAGTGGTCGGTTTAAACCCTAACAAGCTTAAAATCAAATTTGGGAATTCACTGAACCCCACAGGACCTTACCGGGACCCCAAACATCTCTCCACGCACCACCACGCGCCGCCAAAAGTTCCCAAACATTCCTCACACGCTTCCACGCGCCACTACATGCTACCAGGTGGCCTCACGCGCAGCCAAACGCTGCACACGCGCTGCCACGCGCCTGTACTTCTTTCTGGCTGATGTGGCTTCTCCTGGTTGGCTGGAACTTTGCTTTCTGGTGAGCCACATTACACCGGATTTCTTTTGTATTTACTGGACCACATCTATGGTCCATATCGGTTGTGCACCTATTCTCCATAGACCTCCACCACAGCAAATCAATCCACTTAGATTAACTTAATCTAATGGCCCAGATCAACGTGCACACTAACTCCCCATGCACACGACCACATTGGATCATCCGCATATTATCAGGACCATCCCATGGTTCTGATTTGAGGTGCAGCAAAGTTCTATGCACCGCATCTCACCGAATCCCTAGTCCTATTTGATGCGCCAATTCACCCTCCAGCATATATGTAAATAGCATCTATATATATATATACATATATACATATATATTTACACATATATAATTCTAAAACTTCCAAAAAAAATATAGAAAAATCTCAGAAAATTTTAGAAAAATTATAGAAAATTACTAAAAATTCTATAAACCCTAATTAATCCTCTTAGGTCACAAATTCACCTATACCTTGATTTTTAAAAATATATACAACACCTACGTACATCATTAAAATTCAATAAATCCATAAATCAAATAATAATTTATGTTTTTAATTATTCTGATCTAACTATGATGTAATCAGTAAATTTAATTTAAAATTCTGATACTCAAGGTGATAAACTTATGGGTCCTAAGAG